CAGTAAGCCATTATTGATTTTTTGTACTTGGAGATAGATAGTTTAATGGACCTGATGACTAACTGCAAAGTACCATTTTACCAAACTTTGTTACAATAAAACAAGCGCTATAGGTAATTATAAAGATTGTTATTGCTCATCAAAAGTGTACATTTTGGACAATTACTTTAGATTTTCAGTGCAGAGATCGCTATAAATTTTATTCTCCTTGAAGAACTTTTTGATTTCCTTCAAATCGAGGTAGCCGTCCTTATTGGTGTCGTATTCTTCAAACAATTTTCTGACAATTTGTCCGCTGACATTATCCTCACCCAAAGCTGCTCTCAATTCTTGACAATCAATTTTATTTGAACCATCTTTGTCCATTCTCTCAAAGAGACCTTTAACGCCTCTTTTTGGTCTTTAATTAACAATAGGAAAGAATAAAAGTAATGATTAAATTAGAAATAAATTGAGGAAAATATTATTTACTGTGCAGGCTTATTGCAAACTGGCATCAGGTTTTCGTTGCAAAGGTCTAAGTATAAGCTATTTTCTTTGAAGAATTTCTTAATTTCCTTCTCATCGAGAAATCCGTCCTTGTTTTTATCGTATTTTTTGAACAACAGTTCAATGACTTCGTCGCTCACTTTGTCCTCACCCAAAGCCCGCCTTAGTTCCCTGCAGTCTATTTGCTTGGAGCCATCAGCATCCATTCGTTCAAAAAGAGCTTTCACTCCTCTGGAATACAGAAAATTACTTATTTAAATCCTAATACAATGGCATGGCATTGACTAGGGAGAATTCCAGCTTACCTAGATCTAGACATTCTGATCTCCAAGTAGATTTGGTTTGAAAGAAGTTACTTTAAGGCTTCATTTTATAATGCATTTTTCTCTTCACATTAAGATGCATATACCAATCAGAAAAGACCATGGTCATAAAATGACTCTCATTCATGCATTATTAATTCACAGATCATGGGTATCAAAGAGTATTCCTACTGCCCACATGTCTTTGTAAAGTTCTCTGATCTTAACTTGACCTAAACTGTAGTATATTCCCACATAATAATAGATCCCTTAAAGTTTTATAAAATTTTATTGAACAGAGCTCTGAAATACCCTAAAGAAACACATTTAACTATTTACTTAAACACGACTAAATGGATGAGTAATTGCGCAAGATAAATGCGATGTTATTAAAATGCCGGATAAGGCAGTCGGAGCGGTGATAATATGGTCAAAATAATTTCCTTCCACGAAGAAATGGAGTTCTATGTTATATAATAACTCTTCTTATTTAATATTTTGTTTGAGTAAGAAGAGAAGTGAAATGACCACTCAAACGTCAATTAATTAATTAATTAATTAATTTAACATTTTCTAACAACTCCAGAATATAATGTAAACATTCAAATAAACTTTCAGAATTTTTCTTGGCATATTTATTTTATTTTAAAATTAATGGATAAAATGTTTCGCACAAAATAAAAGTCAATTTTAATTAGGCAGGTTAAAGCAATTATGTGGTTAAAATTTGGTATTGATCGGAGGTCAGCATTGCGTGTGTGTAAAGGCAATTACTTCAGGTGTTCTTTGAGGAAGTTCTCGCAGAGTTTATTCTCTTTTAAGAAGGCGATTAGTTCTTTTTTGTCCAAAAGTTTATCCTTGTTTATATCGTACTTCTCAAAAAGTCTCCTTATCATTTCCTCGCTAATGTTATCTTCACCCAGAGCCTTTTTCAATTCCTCCTTGTCAATCTTGCCAGATCCATCTTTGTCGATCTTTTCAAACAATCCTTTAAGTCCTTTACCTCTGAAGTAAAATAAAATAAAATTAAAGGTGAGCGTTAGTGAATTGGTTGCAATGAGGAGAATTAAATTGCCTTCAATTTGAAACTACAGCAAATAAAAATTCTTGTCATCTAAACACGATTCAATTTGCAGATTTCACATTAAATAGGTCTTTTAAAAGATAGTTTAGGGCTTGCATATTATGAATATTTAATAGTAGCATTAATTAAGTGATTATAATAGCTGCTTGCAAATCAAATTAACTTTAAATAAAAGTAAAATTTGCTATGCATAAAATATGCGCAAAGAGTAGGGCTTACTCTGCAGACATGATGATGAATACTTTTTTTTAGATTTTTTTAGGTGGAAATTGCCTTTATATACTACTACTCTGGGTACATTTTAAGCAATAAATAAATAAATAAACCAATGCACATGAAAAGAAAAACAATGAAAGCAGAAATTTGGGCTTAAAAAGTGCAAAAAAGTAAGCAGAATTTTCACCTCTACGGGTCAGTTCCAACGTGTACTGAGCACGTTCACTCAATTTTCACAATGCACGTGGGTAAATGTGATTACAGTTAAAAAATTATTTAATTTGTAAGGGTCTATTGTCAATGAGAAGGGTATTTCTAATTTTAATATTACTTAAAAATGATATCATTTAAAAATTTAGAAATGATGTCTAAAGTTAAACTAATTTCCTATTTTATGCAATATATTTTTTGAAGTTTCAGAATTTTGATAAAATATTCGTCTTTCTGTGAAGTTAATAAATCACCTTGAGCAGATCGAAACCTCAGTATTTTGAGTAACTCTCTTTGTGCTTCAATTTCTTTTATTTCATTATATGTTTTTTTGTTTTTTTGAACTAACTGCAGGGAATAATGGTGTCGGCTTTAGTTAAGTCTCTTCCATTTATATCCGCTATATCAACTATCATTCTATACACGCAATCAAATGATTACGGCTAGTCCGATCGTTACCCCTATCCGGAATTGATATAGTGATAGGCTGACGTAGAGTGAGCAGTAATCACTCCTGATAATCTCATTCGAACAACTATAACCCTGTGTTCTAGGCGGAATATCAAGACATTTAGTCTTGAGAAGTCCCCTTTCCATCGGTTCAGACGTTAATGCAACCTTAGGAGTTAGTAAATTTCATTTCTTTAACAAGTAGGACAAATATTGTCATGTTGACGTAGAGAATTCAGTAGCGGAACTGTAACTCTCAGCTTTCTAAAGTGGTATAAAATATCTCAGTAGATCACTTTTCATAAATTCCCAAATTGAGTATCTTACCACGAAAATTGATCCAGCGTAAATCAAATTTCTCTCTATTTTGGCGTAGTAATTCAATTCTCAGATAAACTCACTGGGTCCATTAATCTACTTTGATTTTAGATGTTTATTGAAAATTTCTATCTAATTAGAGTTAGACACGAGCTCTTTGTAAGTAAAGGTTTACCTATAAACTTAATTAAGGTTATTAGTTGTCAATCATAAATGGTGGTAGTGTTCAAATTTGAGAATCAAGTCATAATTATTGAAACAAAAAGGATTTAGGCATTTACGTTTGCTAGGGAGGACAAATAGTCAGTCCCGTAGCATGTCAAAGAAGACTGAGTTGTAAATTTCGGATTTTTATGAGAATGCTCTGACGTTTTAAGGCGTGACTACACGTCAATACACGGGACTCCACACTTTTAAGATGTCAATAAATTTATCATTGAAGTTAATTGTGATTCTTTTAGAGCAATTGTATCGATTATTATTTTGGTAAGTTTCAATCAAGAAATTGTCGAAAATATTAGTTATTATTTATCACGTTTTAAAATATCGTTGTTAGCTCCATTTAGTATACATCTGGATTTTGAGGTAGATAGGGGGGGGGGGACCCCGTTGATAGAAAATTCTAATTTGTTTGATATTTCTGGTTATTTTAGTTGCGTAGAGAGAGTATGGAAAGGTTAGCATTTGTATTAAAATAATGGGAATGACTAGTAATTTGGTGAGATAAAAATTTAGCAAGAATCATCTGAAATGGAGGGAAGGTAAATGAGGTGTCGGAGACAGAAGCTGCTTAGAAGGTCTGCAGATATGTGGTGGTATTGCTGGTTGAAGAGTACTTGTTAGTTGGAGTCGAATGACAGGTATTGAAAAGAATGAAACCGTTTTGCTATGTATTGTAATCATGGCCTCAACGTCAAACTCGGCGGGAGATATAAAGTGAGTAAAAATAGGTTTATGAGTAACAGGGGAGGGGGTGGAGGAATTGGGGTCTTGTTGGGAGCTAGTAACGGCTATTTTGGATAAAACTCATTGGAAGTAGTACGATTTCCATAAGTAATAGACCAACTTAACACCTATTAACTTCTTCATTTAAAAGCCTCCTATTCAATTTCCTAAAGTGACTGAACTCCCCATATAGCCCTTACATCAAATCGCAACCTTTTACATATTAACTGTGCAAATATCAAATGCTTCACTTCTTCTATCGTCTGCTTGCATCAGAGCAGTAGTTCCATAACTCTACATACGAATATTATTAATTATCATTACCTATACTAATAGGAAATAAGGTGAAGTGTTTAAACAACGCGGGGAAGTCAACATTAACTTAGTTCAAATACTTTATATAGTTGTAACTATAATTAGAATCATGCCTTCTAATGTATCCAGGTATGTGCGTGCTATTGTAGATGCTGTGACCTGACAAATCTCAAAATCATTGGAAAAAAAGATAATTTAAAATATTGCACCCATTTTGGAGAAAAATCACTGTATTTAGCTTAGTGACTAAGAATTTAAAAAAAGCCTTCAAATTGAAATTAGGTTTTGCAAACATAGATAATCTATTTAATGGATAATCGAAGTCCCCGATACTGAGTACTCTAGTTTGATCTAGAGTTCTTATTCAATAAGGAGAGAATCAATGTTCCCTCTTCGTATCGTTAGAGTCCAATAACCAGCAGAAAATATTTCAGATTGGGAACTTAGAAGCATTTGTCAAAATATAACTGACAACTATTATGCCCCCAATATTATTGCAATTGACAGAATTTTTCCCATTGTCTTATTGAATGTTTTGTCGTCATTACTCCAAAATTGTCAATCAGAATTTAGGGCGTGATTTGTGAAAAGAAGAAGTAGAGGCACTTTTTCACCCACATTGAATAATCTCAAGCAAACCGTGCCCTGTAAATGTGCACCACTGAACCAATTGGAGACCTGGGACCACATGTGCTCAATTCTACACACAAAAAGTATATATCTTTCTCCTTGTGTGTGTATATTTTTCATACAGAACAAAAGGAACACAATGCCCTGGTGAGTGCAATTTACACAATGTCGAACTTAACCCAACAATCTTCACATTACTTTATGCAAATTCAACTCCACTCTTTCCTTACAGTTCGCAGACTGTGCGATTGTTTTTGGAGAGTATTGACAAGGATAAATCTGGTTCGATCAGTGCTGAAGAGCTCATCACCGCTTTGGAAAATGCTAATATCAAGGTGAAACATGTTGAGCGCTTCATTGCCCAATATGATAAAAATAACGATGGCCAATTGGATTTTGATGAGTTGATGGAATTCTTTGCAACCATTGGCTTATAAGCAATGTTCCAATTCGATTCAATTTAAAAGTGCATTTTACTACGGTATATTTGACGACTGTTAGAATGTCGTCTTATTTTGTAAATTCCCTTTGAATACAAAAAAACTTATGTGAAGACTTATTTTGTTTCCAAAGTTAACCTGTGATTTAATTATTTAACTGTCCTCATTAATTACTTGATTAATTATTTATGTATTTCACAGAAATATAAAGTTGTATTTGCAACAGAGTATTGTTTTATAATATCTCGAAATTTATAAATAATAATTCATTTCCTTGGGAATACTATTGAGCAAACAATTAATTATTCATTAATTGTTTAAATCGTATCGTCAATGGGTGGTTGATGGAAACTTAAGAAGCGTGTGCCTTTCAAGGTTAAACAAGATCTCTGTTCAATCATGAAAGCGCAATTCTTCATTAAAGGTAGATGATCATGTAATTGTGTAATTTTGGAAAGAACATAGAGATGGAAATACAATGCGAATTTACAGTGTTATTGGCAGCCCAAAATGCGTATATTTCAATAAAACATATGTGTGCAATGACTCTCAATCACTGTCCGAATGCATAAGAATGTTGGAGTTAGTAATCTCATTTTTGAAGAAATTGGTGGGTATTACTTAGCAACTTTCGTTTCTAATAGCCAGATAGAAGGATGGTAGAGGGTGGCAGGTTTCTCATTAACTTCATGAAATTATAGTAGTGTTTTAAATTTAATGTATTATTTTAAAAATAAACTAGAAGCGAAATCCTTAATCACAGTGCTAGCTATTGATCACATTAAAAATTTAAGTGTCAACTAAATGCGTCGACCAATAGAATGTGTTGAACATCTTAATTTTGTGTCCATATGCAATCGGTGAGTCAGGATACACGCAACCTTTTAATGCTTGATTACCTGAGGACCGAATGTGATGTGAACTAGAAGTGAGATTAATTTTGGGAATGTTTTGGCATGTTTACACTGGATGCTTAAGCTTCGAATTTAATGAAATCAACTCAGTAAACCCATGAAACGAGGAAGACACAATTAGGCGGAATTCATTTATCCTTAAGCATTTGGCTTATTAAAAATTCTTTTGCATGGTGCCTCATTTTTGCTCATAATTTGTAAGGAATTTGACGTCCTCCCTCTGAATTTAAAACGCATTTTGTCTGAATAATAAACAACCTTTTGATTACTAATTATATTCTATATCAATTAAATTAATCTCCTGTACGCAAATCTTACAAATAATGAAAAAAATAATCACTTTACCGTGGTAACTGAATGAGGATTAGATGTGCTTCATAAGGAAATGGTTTTCAAATAAAATGTGATTTAAATTTGTCCAATTTTTGTCTTCTATTCATTTGCATACAGGGAGTTGAAATGAAAAAATCCACTTTCCCCAATATACCTTTGTAAATGGAAAATATTAACTTTAAGTAAATGACAAGTAAACTGATGTAAGAAGGGAAATGAGGAAGAGGGGGAGGGGGGTTGGGGGTGTGACATTAATTTTAAATTTAAACAATTTTTTTTAATTCAACCCGCCAAAGACAACAACAATAGTGGTCATCAGGTGGACATTTTAATTTGAAACTGATTGGCCCCCATTGAATTGTTTTGTTGCTCTAAGCTTCCTCATGCCAAAAGTACTGATCCGCCAACAAAAATAAATAAATGACAATAATAGGTTTGTTTTTCTTAAAATTTATTTTTTCACTCCTTCTAACCTATTCCACAAAGGTGGCTCTTATTTTAGCAATCTGCTGAGTTAATTAGCCACTGTCTAACTGGTTTAGAGATAATCCTTAAATTGGCATGGCCTTACTTTCTAATAAATGAGCGGGTGTTCAATGCAGCCTGTTGGTACATGGTCATTCTTATCTTGGAAATGACCTTGGCCCCGTCTCTGCACCAAATTGCACACCTGTGCTATTGTACTAGCAACCACCACCCTGAACCGCATTTCACTTGAGGAAAACATATTGCAATAGTGGAGGTTTAAAATTTTATGTGAAAACATGAAAGAAAAATCATGTGATTTTAAAAGCCTTGTTTGGTAAAGTTTTTCTTTTTAAAAATTTACGCATTGAGCAATTCAAATAACACCATTGAAATTCATTAACCATTCGTGTCTCAACTGGTGGCAAATAAAAATTTTTCTGTGTGGGCGGCCCAGCTGTCATAAAACGTCAAAAGGTCAAACCTTTTCAATCAATAAGACCATTTGATCCACCCACGCTGTTTCACGCTATTTCTCATCTAACTGATATCTAATATTCTACATTTATGGGGTGTGCGATAGAATTACCTCCACGTGGTGTACTCTGGGCAACGTATACACATACGGCAAAAAAGTCTATT